GCTTCCCAAAGTTACAATTGATGGTTTGAGCTGCAGGCTTTTATTCAGGAATGGGCTTGATTCCAGGAGCTTTTCCAACCGAGGTTTTTGGTGTTTTTCTTTTTCTTTGCCAGTCCTGGGGCTTGAACTCAGGGCCTGGATGCTGTCCCTGAGCCTCTTTGTGCTCAAAGCTAGTGTTATACCACTTAAGCCACAATGCTATTTCCAGCTTTTTCTGAGTAATTTATTGGAGATAAGTGTCTCAACTTTCCTTTCCATGCTGGCTTTGAGCCAATCAGTTCTCAGATCTCTACCTCTAGCTAGTATTACAGGCCTGAGTCATTAGCTAGTATTACAGGCCTGAGTCATTAGCACCCAGCGCCAGTTGAGGTTTTAACGATTGGAGTGCTCTTTCCTTTAGAAACAATGTTGGAAACTGCCTTGGAGAAGACACAGCTGAAGGTCACAAAAATCCATCCTCTCTGTTCAGATCAGTTAGGGAACTAACTAACCCACGCTGGAAAGATGAGGTGAATTCAATGTGATGATAGGAGGAAAAACAGATTTATATCGCCAGGCTTCTTTTGTCTACTCTAGGCAACACTTAGGTATTGGAAGGAAGAAATAGAAATCAGCTTTGGCCCAGTCTGTTTCTGAGCTGACTTGCCCTCTCCACTGATTCTTCCACAGTTCTGCTCACCATGACCCTTTGATAGTCCTGGCTTCCAAAGTGCCCTATGCTCCTTAATTGCCTATATTGACATCAGGACCTGAATTTGGAGGCATCACTTACTATCTGTGAGTTTTGCAAATATTGTTTTTGAGATAGGGGGTCCTTATGTAGCCCAGGCTGCCTTCAAATTGAATCCTCCTCCCTCAGCTTCCTCCCAAGTATTGAGAGTATAAGAAGCTTCATACCTAACCTTGCTTTGGACATTTCTTCTTCTTCATTTTTTTTTGGGGGGGGGAGTCTGGTCATGGGGCCTGAACTCTGGGCCTAGGCGCTGTCCCGCAGCTCTTCAGCTCAAGGCTAGCGCTCTACCACTTGAGCCACGGTGCCACTTCCAGATTTTTTTTTCTTTTTGCTTATGTGGTGCTGAGGAATCGAACCCAGGGCCTCATGCATGCAAGGCAAGTGCGCTACCACTGAGCCACCTTCCCAGCCCCTGGACATTTTTTCATTACCCAACTTCCACCTGCAAAATGGAGAAATCCTTAATATCATTGATTTGAAATTAGATGGAAAAAGGTTTATATAATATGCTTAATATTAAGCCAGACAACCTATGGTTTCTCAACTTCATGGGAGATTCTCGATGCTTTGGGTTTTTTTGTTTGTTTGTTTTGGTTTTTTTTTGATCAGTCATAGGGTCTGAACTCTGGACCTGGGTGCTGGCCTTGAGCATTTTAGCACAAGGCTAGCACTCTACCACTTGAGCCATAGCTCCATTTCCAGCCTTTTCTGCTTATGTGGTGCTGAGGAATCGAACCCAGGGCCTCAAGCATGCAAGGCAAGCATTCTACCACTGAGCCACCTTCCCAGCCCCTTTGTTTTGTTTTTTAAGGAGCAAGTCCTTTTTCTTTGCTAAACTATGTACATGTGTACACTCTTGTGTTAGATGGTTATTAGGTGTGAATTACCATTTTAAATGTGGAAAACATACCAAATTTTCATGGCTCCTCAAAGTCCTGATAGTATCATTTTTCTTAACACCTGCACACAAATTGCATTTATATTGCCTCTGCACACCCTTCCCTCACCCCAATGCTAAACAGTCTCAGAATCCAAACTCATCTCAACATTCATCCAAAAACAATTAGAAAGATGACTATACTCCCTCCCCCTCATAAATCACCATATAAAATGCTGAGATTCGTTTCACCCAATGTTGTAAACAATCTACATTTGGATATTTAAAAAAGAAGGTTTAATTTTTTTTTCAGATTTTGGTATCTTTCAGTAAAAACTGACTCACAGAAAAGGCCATCCCAATGAACATCACATTTAAATTTTAATAAATCGTAAATAATTTTGGAGGCCAAAAATAATGGTGAAAACTATGACATCTTTAAATGTCTATTTCTACTCTCTCCTTTCAGGCTCAAGAATCCTAGAACTAATTCTGAATTGTGAAACTGGAGACCGTCCCCAGCCAGAGTTGCAGACTTAATGCATCATTAATCCGGTCTGCTCTTAGCCGCCAATTGCAATAGTCACAGCCATTCGATTTTTAAGGAAAAGACAGTGCTGCGGAAGTACTTTCCAGAGGTCTTTTCATAAAAACTATCCTGTGTGCTCCATCTGCATGTACAATCTGCTTGTGTATTTTCAGCCAGCTTGCATGGGCAGATTAATGCGTACAATTAGAAAGCAACCTCACAGGCATTCGATAAACTGCCTTCATTATTACACTCAGGAGAGTCCCTTTGGATGTCAATAAAAGCCTAGTTTTCTGCCTGTTAGCTAAATAATTGACAACACTAAAAATAATCAGAAGCAAATGAACAGAGTCAGGAGCAAGGTGCGAAGAAGAGCATATTAGGATGCACGAGTGGTACCCCAGGTGGCCATCATGCGCCTTTTCTCTGGCAACTTGGATTTACAGTCTACTCAAGTCCACGGATGACCTTCTTTACAGGAAAAACACACTGCTGCTAGTCTGCTGTGTGAACCACACATCACAGCATGCAGAAACCAGCAATAGATCGACTCATTTGTGAGAACTTATTTGGGTTTCTATTTTGTGTACCTTCCCTTGACAGCTACTGGAGAATCTAATTTGGGGAGTAGGAGCCAGATAGACTGGCTGGTCTGATGAACTCTTTGTGCTGCTAGAATGTTAGCTTCTTTCCTAGACATTTTTTTCCCCACCCTAAACTAGTTCTAAGAAAGCGTGATGACTTCTAGTGATACAGAGGGTCCAACTTTCTAAGAAGCCTCTTTCATAATTGGGGCACTATAATGGTCAGTCATTTCAGGGGCTATTGGCCTTCTGATTTTGAAAGAAATTTAAAACACCATGTTCTTAAAAGAAAAAAAAAAGCGAACACATTTATACCTCTTCTTGTGTTTCTCAATAGGCTTTAAAAATCAATTTGTGACACTTCTCAATTTTAGCCAACTTTTCTTTTTTTTCCCTGGCTAACTGGGACTTTCCTGATAAGCAAGAAGAAAGAGAAAGAGTGAAATTCGCATGTAATTGAATTCAACTAACTGCACAGATAGTGTACAAGGTGGCTGAGGGCAAAGCCTTCTATATAGAAGAGGAGTGATTGATCTTTAGTATTTAGTAAAACACGAACTCAAGGAGCTGGGAAGACTAGGAAAGGAAGGAGGCTGGGCAGCACAGCTTCCCACTTTTGAAAACTCTAGAATCTCCCCACCTTCCACCTTGCCATGTTTCAAACTTTCCATAGCAGGAACTTCCTTCAACTTCCCTGCCTTGTCCTTACGACCCTCTGTTCAACAATTTGATCTTCTCTTTCCAGTATGTAATGATTATGCCAAAGGATGGTTACAGTTATGGCTCAAAGAAGAAAATTAATTCTTGTGTTCTCCCTACTCATGAAGAAAGATAAAATAATACATACACTCTTAATATACCATTAATCTAGTTTCTCTCTCCTGGCATCTGTCAACTCAACTCAGATCTGCTTGGCTCTAATTAATTCTACCACATTTAGAATTAGCATAGATCTCTCTCTCTCTCTCTCATATATATATATATATATATATATATATATATATATATATATACACACACACATATGTATATATACATATATATATATATAAAATACAAATTCTGTAAAAATACAAACACATGGAATGAAAAAAACATGTGTACTGCCCTGAATAGTCACAGAAAGAAAATATTAATAAAATTTCATACCTATAAAAATAATTTACATAGGACCAGCAGTATGGTCCTTTGGTTTTTTCTTTTTTAAATCTGTAGTCAAGTAACCTAGAAAATGAACTTATTTTCAAGGGCTATGTAGATCATCTGCATTATGACAGATTATAGTCACTCTAACATATTAACATATTAACTACTGCTATTTGCAAATCAAACTGGAACAATTATCTCAGCATATAATCACCAACTGATGATTTGGGGGGAGTTGTTGTTTTTGTCAGTTATAGGGCTTAAACTCTGGGGTTGGATGCTGTCCCTGCACTCTTCAGCTCAAGGCGAGTGCTCTACCACTTGAGCCACTTCTGGTTTTCTAGTGGTTTATTGAAGATAAGAGTCTCATGGACTTTCCTGTCTGGGCTGGCTTCGAACCGTGATCCTCAGATGTCAGCTTCCTGAGTAGCTGCGATTATAAGAGTGAGCTACCAGCACCCTGCTAAACTCATGGTTTTGACAGTAACTTTTAAATGATACCTCAGTTGCTGGCAATAAAAATATAATGTATTAGGTAAGACCCTAGTTAGTTTAGATTTTGTTTCAGTATTTTATTTCAAGTGCCCTCTTCCTTATGTCAATATGTTAGACATCAACATAATCAGAAGTATTTGGATCACCAAAGAATCAATTGCTCCAAGTTACTTGTGATGATAAATCCCTCAAATTTAGTAGTATTACTGCTAATCAATTCACCACTACAGAATACTTTGATGATTATAGAAACCTCCATTTTTAGATTGAGAATAATTAATATAACAGCCAATAATCGATTTGCCAGGTATTTGAAAAGTTTCCATCATCTGGTATTCAAAAATTGAGTTAGCTGATAGCTCATACTGTAATTCTAGTTGCTCAAGAGGCTGAGCTCTGAGTATCACAGCTCAAAGTCAGCCTGGCCAGAAAAGTCCATGAGACTTTTACCCTACTTAACCACACCCCCAAAAAAGCTGAGGTGGAGCTTTGGATCAAGTGGGAGAGCATTAGCCCTGAGCAAAAAAAAAAGCTCAGGGATAGCACCTAGGCCCCGAGTTCAAGCCCCAAGGCCAGCACCAAAAAAATAGTATATAACATACCTATAAAGGTACTAAGTTCTGAAAAGAAACTTACGATTGATGGTGGTCTCTAAGTCGTTCTCTTCTGAGGTCTTCTTGAAGTCGCTTTTTCTCCTCTAGTTTATTGCTCTGAAATTATGAATATCAAAATGTGATCTTTTAAGGAATCATTAGGTAGAATTATGATGTTGGAAGTCATCTAAGGTCTAAAATTCTTGGGTTCCAGAAGCTTTCAAGATAGTTTCCCTCTCAGAACCCATGACTACCACATGTAAAATCAGGAGCCCAACGTTCTTTTCCTAGTCCTTTTTCCCAACTGGACTGGTTTAAATCATAGAACCAACAAATGATAGTAACATTTACTTTTAAGCAGTATTTTCAAAATGTTCCAACTGGAAACAAGAACTGTCCATACCAAGTATATTAAATTAAATGTATAATAAATGATTAAATAATAAATGATTAAATAGTATGTATATATGTATACATAAATCACATTCTACTCAAGCATTCAGGAAAAGAATTTCAATAACCCAATCCAACTCCCTTATGACTTAGTATCAGATATTTAAAAGCTGTTGACAGACTGATTAGCATATGTTCTAAAAAAAAAAAAAAAGCTCATCCACTTGAATAGAAAACCTACTTTTAAAAAATTATCTGTTTAGAGCCTACAGACAAAAAGAATTTTATATTTGATATTACTTATCACCATGGCTCTGCCTTACTTTAATTCAATTTTAATTGAAGCAAGTAAGATTTTCTTTGCTCACCATGACACAGCGGTTATTTTTTTAACTTGCCTGAGAAAAATAAGCAAAACTCTTAGATAACAAGTTTAATGGGGAGTTGAAAGAAGTTCTACAACATAGGCAAAATGAGAATTGTAAATGAATCTAAGCAAGCAAGCAAACCACTGGGTTTAATAAAATATTGGATCTGCCCAGAGAAGGACTTATGAAAGAGAATAATGGAAGTCATCACTTTTAAACTCGTAAGTTTGGCTTCATCTTTCAAGGAGAGGAAAATAAGTTTTCATATTGTTTATTTCCATGAAAATCTTCTTTCCCATTTTGACAGGCAAAATGGATGATGATTTCAGCTTAAAAAAGTAAGCTATAGAAAATTTTCTAGAATCAAAGGAAATCAATTATAAAGTAAGCAACTGGATTGTCAGCAAAACAGAATTGTAGGGGGGAAAAACTAAGAGAACATTATAAAACCAATAAGAACAATAAACACCAATAAACATGATTCCACTGTAGACATCATGAATCATCGACTCCAAAGGTGCTCAATTATGAGGGTGGGGTATGGAGAAGATCAAAACTGTTAGAGACAGTACCCAAGAAGTAGGTTTGATGAAATCAATGTTAAGAATGCTTTTTTATGAATAATGACACATAAGCAGTTAGAGACAAGGCCTGGGTTCCTTTAGCAAGGTCAGAAATTGAGAAAAATCAGTTTGAATGTCTTCACTAATAGCTTCCAACTCTCAAAATCACTGCTAAAACAGCTAGTTTTCCACAATGAAATTCTTCTTATCCTTCAACAGAAGCCAACAGAGAAGTCTTTTTCAAAATATTAAGGGTATTTAAAGAAATTGTAGGCAGCAATTTTAATATACTAGTCCAAATGTTTAGATTTAGTCAGATCATTTTCTTTCCATTTAACAAAATGGAAACAAACTATTTAATTTTATTTGATTTAAACACACTTAAGAAACACCTGCAAATATAGAATGTAACTAAAACCATGAAATCCAGAAAAAGAAGACATGGATTCAGCTCCTGCCTAATGTCACTGACAAATAATTTCATTATCATGAATCTCATTTATTCAACAAACATCCCATTAGTATCTTTGATTCTGTTAGATGCTAGCAATACAGCTAGTACTAGTTCCTTCCCTGACATTTATGGGTATAAAAGAAAAACAATGAGGTGCAGTATGCTAAATATGTTAGGGAGAATAGATTGCAAGTGAGGCCATGTGAACATAGAAGGGAATACAAAGAAGATTGTCAGGAAATGCTCACACGTAGTACCACAAATGTAATTCAGTGACTACAAAATGTCATTCTCCTTATCCTGGACAGAGCTAAAAACCTAAAAAGCATCCTGAGTATGTTTTCTAATCTCAGGTTCATGGGTGAGCTGTAAAGAGTACAGGGCTTTTGTGGAGAATGATAGTAGAGCTTTCTTCAGATTTTTCAAGGTGCTGATGAACAACTTAAAGGATTAAAGAAAAAACAAACATAGGTGTAAAGAGAAATTCTAGATAGAAACCAGTCTCAAACAAGTAACAGCTTGCCAGAAAGAGTTGGAAGGGATGGGAACAGAGATACTGCACAACACTGTACAGGCGTTCACCTTGAAGGGGGTTCCAGAAGACAGAAATGAAGATAGCATTCTGCCCCTCTAGCTTTGTACCCAGCATGGGGTTTCCTCAGCACAGAGGAGGGATTATTTGTTTTGGTTTGTATTCTTTTGTTTCTCACAAAAATGCCATTTATCACCAATTGGAGCACATACAGAATTGACTTTGTTTTTTTTTATTCTACTTGCTTATAAACTTTATTGACTGTGACCCATAGAAATACATTTTATATCATTACTCCACATAGATGTATGACTGAAAAATAATATATGACATTGGATGATCTATTCTATTCTTCTGTTCTTAATAGAATTGACTCTGGGTCAAAGAACTGTTTTCTAATTTGCACAAAGGCAATGATGGGTCAATAATGGCCCCAGATGGGAAAAGGCCAGTCCCAGAAATTACAATGTCTTCAAAACAGAAACATAATGGAGTATGCCAGTTCATGAAATCCAGAGAGTCTCGTGGATAAACTAAAAGATATTTGTAAATATATGAGCGGAAAATAAGGCTGGAAAAGTATGAAGAGGAGATGATGAAGAAATATAGATGTTAAGTAAAGAAATCTGAACTTCACCAATGGCAATAATAAGCCATTACATTATTTAAAGCAGGATGGTAGACAACTTATTCTGATAGCAGCATGGAACACATAATTCTCACAGTAACCTAGGCCATAAATTATGAGAGCTACAAAATTAAAGCAGAATGAATAAAGGGAAAAAATGGACTTTACAAAAATGTAGTTGATAGAACAACAGATATGACTGTGCATAAATAGGAAAAATATAAAAAGAGGAAAACTGCCGGGTGTCGGTGGCTCACACCTGTAATCCTAGCTACTCAGGAGACTGAGATCTGAGGATTGCAATTCAAACCCAGCCCAGGCAGGAAATTCTGAGAGACTCTTCTCTCCAATAAACCACTCAGAAAACCGGAAGTGGCGCTGTGGCTCAAGAGGTAGAGCGCTCACCTTGAGCTGAAGAGCTGAGGGACAGCACCCAGGCCCAGAGTTCAAGCCCCATGACCCACCCCACACCAAGAAAAGGAAAACTATCATTTACAGTATCAATGTGAATAGAGGCCAATTTTGAACTTGCTATATTTAAAGTATACATATGGAACAGGAAGGGAAAAGACCAAGCATATAGTGTGTGTATATGGCTCTGGGTTCAGAAATATGGTCTGATTAGAAGATGTGGATTTCAGAAACCATTAACACAAATCATAGCTAAGGCTTTGAATGTGGGTGCTTTTAACCAAGGATGGGGCCCCCAGACACAGAGAAGGGACCAATGGATGGACCTGGTAGACATTCAGTAATGGCAAAAACAAATGGAGGGAAAGAATCCATAGGACGTCTAGAGGGACTCGCCCTCTAAATTTAAGGGACAGAGTATTTAATAATAATCTGAGAACTGGAAGAGTCTCCACTGAAGAACTCCATCAGATCTTTTTTAGATCTGTACTAGAGAAGTATGAGAGAGGAGCCCAACTCAGTCCACCAAGGAACAAAGTAAGGAGAGGGGCTTGAAAAAGTGATTTCCTAAGCTAGCTGAGAACTGGCCAGCACTTGAACCTATGGTTTAAGTGAAGGTCAAAGAGTCAGTCATTGGGCTGGGAAGGTGGCTTGCCTCGCATGCATGAGGCCCTGGGTTCGATTCCTCAGCACCACATAAGCAAAAAGGAAAAAAAGCCGGAAGTGGCGCTGTGGCTCAAGTGGTAGAGCGCTAGCCTTGAGCTGAAGAGCTACGGGTCAGTGCCCAGGCCCAGAGTTCAGGCCCCATGACCGGAACCAAAAAAAAAAAGAGTCAGTCATAAACTGACACTTAGAAACCAAAGGTGGCAAGAGAAGACTTTCAAGAAGTTGAAAGCCTTTTGTCCCACCATACTTGGGACAGAAGAATGTAAAGTATTTGTGTGTATGTGTAATTTGTTAATACAAGAGACTTGACTACGACAATTATCTATGAAAAGAGGGAAAAAATACAAGCAAGTGAGAAGAAAAAATGGGGGCTTAACTTTTAAAGCAGCAAAGCCCCTGAGATGATGATAAGAAAGGCAAGATGGAGAACACAGGTGAAAGAACCCATCAGAGCAATGCAGAAATGTGTTTTCTTACTCCCCTTAAGGAGGACAGAGGAATAGAGGTCACAAAAAGTAGGAAAACAGAAAAAATAAAGGCATTTTGAGGCCTGGTGGCTTTTATTTCCTAGAAAGTAGAAGATGAAGTCATGTGCTGAAAATGAAAGAAGATCAGGAGGACATGAAGTGAGTGAAGACCTAGGTTTGGGGGGCTGGATCTACAAAGCAGAGCCGGGCATCAGGCATTGTTATAGACATAGTTAAGTTGGAATCCCAGAAATCTAGTGAAGACAAAAACAGTCCTGTGTGCTTTTCCTCCAACAACCTCATTTGTGTGGTTTAATAGAGATGAAATGATTAAGCTCATCAGATTCATGTGTTAAATCTGAATGTTTCTATGCCTTCATTATAAGGAGTTGATACATTAAAGAGAGATGGTGGTTAAAGACTTCTTTATATTTATAACATTAGCACATCTGTACTGAGTGCTCACTAAACGTTAGGCATTATAATAAGGGACTTCAATACATAATGTTCTTAAGCATGTCATTTAATAAATAGAACTTAAGTTTCTCCAGTTGTTTAGTGTAGATATTGCAATGATAATTCCTACACAGACAGTAGTTGTTCTAGTCTATTTAATCTAAATTCTATAATACCTA